CGGAATGCGCGTTTCTGGACCGGATTCTGCGTGGGCAGTGCTCCTCTGCAAGGGGCGTCCTAGGCAGCAGTGGACGCTGAGGAGAACACTGCACGTCAGCGCCTCGGCTGTGTCTCGTCGCAGACGCAAGCCGGCCGCGCTCCACACGGGCCCGGGAGGGGCCGCGCTGAAGTTCCATCTCACGCCGCAGCGTGGCCCAGCAAATGGATCTGCGCGGAAAATGCTCTTTAAAATACGCTAGTGCGTGATTTTAAAAAGCGCTTGCTGCAGGGTGAATTTCAAAGAGGAGCAAGCGGTGATGAGGCCGGTGGTGCCGGCGAGGCGCGAGGGGCGTGTCTGTCAGCACCTGGGCCCGGCCCAGCTGTGGCCCGGGCCTGCGGGGGGCGGTGGGGAACTGTCTTCAGCCCCCGTAAAGGACCGTCCTGCTTCTTGTGTCTCCAGGGGGCACCCGGCAGGCCCCCTGGCGCCGCTGGGCAGGCAGGCTTCAGCCTGGCCCTGGGAAGAGCCCCGGGGGGCTTCGAAGGCGGAACGGGCCAAGGCGGGCAGTGTCCAGTCGGAGGGCAGCGGGCCCTGTCGTGGACTCACCTCCCACAGCTCCCCTCGTCCTCGGCGGGGGCCACGCCGTGCTGGGCGTCCCCACCCCTGCTTCTCTTTGGGGCGCGCCTGAAAGGCAGTGGCGCAGTGACGGGGGTGTCTGGTGGCTCTGGGCCGTGAGGGCCGGCGCCCCGTGGCGCGGCCCGCGTGCAGCCTCTGCCAGGGCGGTGCCCGGCCCCTTGCTCCACAGTCCGCTCGTTGCGGCCGAGAAATGGGCCAGTCTGCCTGCCAGCGACACGGCCTTCTCCCTTCTGGAGCTGTCGGGAGGCCGAAGACGAGGCAGCCTCTGTAGGATGGCGCGCGCTCCCCACTGCGGTGGACATGGCTCCGGCCTCGCGGGGAGGCGGGTGAGCGCGGGGGCGGGGGACCCCGCCCGCTCCGACGGGGGCTGGCCGTGGCTGTTTTCCAAGCCCATGAGCGTTGCTTTCCAGGTGTTCCCGGTGCCCACCTGGTGCCCAGCCCTGTGCTGGTGGCTGTGGAAGACAGGCGAGAAGGGTGACGAGCAGCTGTTGCATGCCGGGCACCCCCACCTTCTCCAGGAAGCACCCACGAGGAAGATGGGTGCTGGCTGCCAGTGAGGGTGGAAGCCCTCTCGGGCGTGTTTGTGGACAGTCACTGGAAGGCACCGTCTGGAGAGGAGCGCTTTTCAGACTTCCCTTTGGGTAGAAATGAATGCCGGGAGCCGGAAGAGCCCCTCCCCGCTGCGCAGCCGGCCAGAGGGCCGGCCCACCGGGACCGGCCAGCGCGCCGC